AGTTTGCTATAGCCTAAGGGTCTAGAGCATACTAGAGAGATTTTTACTATATGTTAGAGTGGGCTAACCTTTCCAGCAAAGTAAATTAACACACTAAAAGTTTATCCTTTGTTTATGTATATATCTTGACACCAGTCCCATTGTGGGAGCCCTATCTTCATAACCTTACCTGAAACCTTCTAAAGGTCCCATCCCCCATACCATCACATCAGGTGTTAGGGATTTAATATGTGACTCCATTCCTTTCTCTGTCTTTGTCTCTGTTTCTGTCTCCCCCCATGTCTCTGTCTGTCTGTCTGTCTGTCTGTCTGTCTGTCTCTCTCTCACAAAAAAAAAACAAAACTGCAACCTTAGTTATTTTAAGGAAATGATTCATTAAATATAGTCTCAGTGTTGTGCAACCAGTTTTGAAATTCTTCATCTTACAGACTGAAACCCTAACCCATTAACTCTTCCTGCTAACCCTGTGTGACTACCAGTTGCTACAGTTAACTACTTTCTGTCTGTGAACTTGCTTACTCTAGATACTTCATATAAGTAGAGTCATAACTTTCATGACGATTAGATCACTTTACTTACTATGATTGCCTCAAGATTCATGCTGTAGCATGTTTTAGAATGCCTTTTTAAAGGCTGAATGTTCGTTCTCTCTTCCATGTACATTTGGTTTGCTTCTATCTTTCAGTTGTGTACAGTACTCCCAGAGACATGGGGGTGACATCAGCTGCTTAACTGTACCTTTTTTTTTTTTTTTTTTTTTTTTTTTTTTTTTTTTTGGTCTTTTTGAGACGGGGTCTCCCTGTAGTCCCAGCTGACCTGGAACTCACTATGTAGACCAGGCTGGCCTTGAACTCACAGAGATTGGCCTGCCTCTGCCTCCTGAGTGCTGGGACTAAAGGCGTGTGCCACGACCCCCAGCAACTGTGGCTATCTTAATGCCATTTAAAGTAGATTTCACAGTCCAGTCACTTTATTCAACTGAGACAGTTTATTGGGGGCTTTGCTGTTCAAAGACTTTTTAGTTTTGCATTTCTTATCTGGGACTTAGTATAATTTCCCTCCCAATTCTTCTAAACCTCAAAAGTCTTAAACTATTATTTTGCCTCTCATTTTTCCTTAAAAATAGAGTCAGTTCTTTCTTCTGCTCATCTCTTTCCTGTTAAAGAGCATCTCCTGCCAAGGAAGGTTTGTCTTGTAAATTTCACCCAGTCCTATGCAGGTTGAAGGAGGGCAGCCCTGCTCCACACAATCCCTCAGGTGCAGGCTCCTTCCCAGTTTGCCTTTCTTAACTCCAGGGCTTTGTCCTTCCTGGTAAACAAAGAGAAATTATGGACGATTGCACATGAAGGCTTTTAGAGGCTAGAACATAGAAGTGGTATATGTTCTACATTCAATCCAGTGTGTAAAATTGGCATTATAGTCCTCCTTGACTGTAAAGGTAGATGGAAAATACAGTCTTGCTTTATTGCCAGAGGAAGAGAAAACAAAGTTTGGTGAGGATATAGGAACCATTGCCACAGGCTGGAGCTAATTTGGAAGAACCCATATATGATAGTGATAAAAGGTGTAGATGTGGGGATCGGTCTGGAGAAGGTGTCAGGGAAGTGATAGGAGACCATCACACATACAGAGTGCTTTCTGGAGAGTCTTAAAAATAACTTGTATAACCTAAGTTTGATTTTTTAGGAAAAAATGCTACTGTGTTTGTAGAAAGTTTAGACACATGGGTTAAATAATTGGGAAAGTAGCTTTTTCAGAATCTGCAGTTTTTTCTCTCCTTAAAGCTAATGCAGAAAACATGTCTGTTTGCATCTTGCTTTGTGACTGGTGAAGCCTGTACCTGTAAAATAGCTCTTGAGTGCCAGAAATACTAAACCAAATGAAGATTTATTTTTAATGTCCATTTATTGATCATTTAATATGTGCCAGAGAGCATGAGGCTAATAGCAATAAAAAGTCCCTCAAGGGAGATCAAATTCAGCACAGAAAATAGACAAGTAAGCCAGGCGTGGTGGTGCACACCTTTAACACCAGCACTTAGGAGGCAGAGGCAGTCCAGCCTTGTTTCTACATAAGGAGTTCCAGGCCAGCTGGGGTTACAGGGAGACCCTGCCTAAAAAAAGAAAAGAAAAAAAAAAAAGAGAAGAGAAGAGAAAATAGATAAGTAAACAGCTACATAAAAACATCAGGCAGAATCTCATGATCAAAGAAGCTGCACATCTGAAATGTTATAGCTCACAGGGGAGGTACTAGAAAGAAAGAGTATTGATCTTGCCGCTTAGCAGATCTAGGTTTGGGTCTTGGAGAAGATGCTCTCAGGGTACTGTCAGGGAAGTTTGTATCTCTGAACTTATACTTTTCCTCATTTCCAGTTTTGTGATAATAACACCTACCTTTCAGGTTTCTGTGACGATTCAGTTTGGTATTTTAAAGGCAGTATTTTTATTGGTACCATTGAAGAAGGTAGAGTTCATATTAAGTTGAAACAAATGAGTTACCTTACACTAACCTGTGAATTCATTCATTCAGTAGTTATTTAGTAAGCCATTGGTGTGCACAGTCATGTGTGTGTTTTCAAAGCCCTGCCCATTTTTTAACAGAAACGTAACATTGCAAGTCTGTGACCACCAGGCTTATATGCTGCCTTCCCCTCCTTCAGGTGCCATAGGCCCTGCAGCACTGTGCTCACTCTTCTTGCTAGGGAGTCTGCCTGACTGCCTCCCCACGCTATCTTCTCTTCCCAACCCACTCCACTGCTTTTGGCTGCTTGCATTTCCGCTTTCTTCACCTCAGACAGCCCTTTCTTTTCTCACACAGATCTCCCTTAGCCCCTTCCCTAGGTTTATTCTTTCCAATTTTTACCTCAGGAAAAATGTGCCATGTTCTTTCTGTCATTGCTTGTTCACGTCTCTTCTTATATCATAGAACATTTTCATTTATATCCCTCATAGATACCCACATATCTGTTCTTAATGTGAATACTGACACCACCATCCTTACACACCTACTAACTGGCAGGTGCTATGCAGAGCCTCTCCATCTTCCAGCAGTTCTATTATATACCAATTGAAGACAGAAACAAGCTATATACTTTGGTGAATTCTTAGTAAACTCCTTTGTACACCAGAAATAGCCCATGTTTCTTCTCAGAGAGGAAGAGTATATGTTTTAATTATATCAGAGGTGATTGCATTTTGCTGCATTGCCAGTCCTGCAAAACTTTTCTTTTTATGATAAATGCAAATCGCATCACCTGAGGCTGGGTTCAGTATACTTTTGTGGAATTCGTAGGAGACATTTATTACAGTGAAATAGTGAAACTGGACTCCAAGTTCTAAACATCAGCTAGGTTAGCTGGCATGTAAATTAGTGTGGACTATCCAGTGTTTTCCATGTTAATTTTTTAAAGAGGTAAACCATGCTTGTTTGTCCTTATCTTATTTAATGAGTTGCTTTTTTTTGTGCCATTTGCCATAAAATAGATTTTTCAAACCTTTTCAGTCTCAGGGGATGAGGTAATTGCTAGAGCCAACTGGAAATAGAACGGAGATGGACAAATGAACACATACTCGCTGCTGTCACAGAATGAGAGGCAAACATCCCACTATAAGAATGGTTATCAAGTGCAGAGCACTGACACACAAAAACATTTTACATTTGTTATTAGTAAACACAGCATAATTTTGAGGATTTACCTAACATTAATAAGCTTTAAAGCAATATCTGAGTGAAATAACATCTGCTCCACCCTCTCTACTGCCTTACTTTGCACTTTGTGTCCTTTTCTGGACCATTCCTTGTGCTAGTATCCCACCTACCTTCTTACATGGCCCTTTCCTATCCAACCCTCCCACCAAACCCAGACCTCCTGAGGCTTCCCTTTCATAACTCCTCCTTCAAAACGTCATACTAAATTGATTCTTATACTGAGTCTCTTTTCCTCCCTCACTTTCTTTTTCTTTCATCTTTAGAATAATCAAAACAAAGCCAGGCAAGGTTGTATGTGTCTTTAGTCCCAGCACTCAGGAAACTAAGACAGGAGGATCCTGAGTTTGGTTGGAAGCCACCATGGGTTACAGAGTGAGTTCAAGGTCATCCACTGTGAAAGAAAGAAAAAGGAAGGGAGGGAGGGAGGGAAGAAGGAAAGAAGGGAGGGAGGAAGGAAGAAGGGAAGAAGGAAGAGAGGAATAAAGGGAGGGAGGGAGGGAGGAAGGAAGGAAGGAAGGAAGGAAGGAAGGAAGGAAGGAAGGAAGGAAGGAAAAATTAAACCAAAATAAGCACATATATAGGAAGTTCTTGCTTCAACCATTCCTCAGTACCATTCTCTCCTACTTTCTACCTAAAAATATCCAGATGAAGGGCTGATGGTTCATCAGTTAAGAGCACTGGTTGCTCTTGCAGAGGACCTGAGTCAGTTCTCAGTATCCACATGGCAACTAACAGCTGTCTGTGACTCCTGTTCTAGTGGATCTGATGCCTCCTTCTGGCATGTGCAAGCATTGGATGACACAGGTGCACTTACATACATGCAGGCAAAACATTCATACACATGAAATAATTTTTTTAATTTTAATGTCTAGATAACTTGAAGGGTTTAGTTCAAAAGCTGCTTCATAATGTTTCTCTGATTATTTTTTCCACCCACATAGGCAAATAATACTTTCTTATTTCCCCTGGAACTTTAAACTTAGAGAACTTACCATATGCTACCTTGGGTTACATTAAAGCTAGAGAGTTCAAATTCCTTAAGACTCGTTTCCATGCTTAGTTCAATTCTGTATACTCTTAGCACTTAACAGAGAGGTCTGCTTAGTGTAGGAGCATAGAAGTGTTTTTTATTGAAGAATTCTCATGTATTTTGTTTGAACTTGGTGCTTATGCTATCTTCTTTCACAGAAGTTTCTTTAGATTTTATGGTATAAGTATAGCCCCATTTTATTAACAAGCTTTATCTTGGTTTCTGTTTGAATCCCAATGAATGTTACCCTTTCTCTTGCTAGCCTCGTGTGTAAACTGAACACAAGGACCACCATTTTGGCAGCAACTAACCCCAAAGGCCAGTACGACCCCCATGAATCCATATGTGTAAACATTGCCCTAGGCAGCCCACTCTTAAGTCGATTTGACCTCATCCTGGTTTTGTTGGACACCAAGAATGAAGACTGGGATCGTATAATTTCCTCCTTTATCTTAGAAAATAAAGGTAGGTGAAGACAAACAGATCATTTAGTGTGCCAAAGGAAGATGATTGGACCAAAGGAAGTGTCTATTGAAGATTAAATACCCAAGATGCCCATCCTAATGGGCAGTAGAGAAAGCCTTAAACAGAAACAGCAAAGAAACCAGTTAGTAGACCAGATGATGAACAGAAAGACAAGTAGCTTTCTACACGTGCCAGCATGAGTTTCGAGTTGTCATATATATCCTTCCGATGAAAGCAACATCCTTATGGTATAAAATTACTACCCAACTTTTGCATGCAATGAGAACTGAGTTATGAATGGGAAATCTGTAAATGTGAGCTCTCTTTCAGTTAACTCAAGTGCTACTTATTACTATAAGCGAGACCAGAATTATTCTGAATAATTGTAACCTCTAAGGAAGCTTACTTTTTTTAAGCTTAGATCCTAAGACAGCTCATTCTAGGATTGCATGCTGCATGGAGAATGGGTCGATATTTCAGTGGCCCCAAACCCAAAGCTTATCTTTTAAAACCAAGTACAGGAGCTTTCTCAGATTCCTCAGAGATGTTTGCCAACTCTTTTTAGTTTACTGATCCCATGCCTGATATGCACAGGTTATCCAAGCAAATCAGAGAAGCTGTGGAGCATGGAGAAGATGAAAACCTACTTCTGTCTCATTAGGAATCTCCATCCTACACTCTCTGATGCGGGTAATAAAGTACTCCTCCGATACTATCAGATGCAAAGGCAGAGCGATTCCCGGAATGCTGCCCGGACAACCATCCGCCTGTTGGAAAGCTTGATCCGATTAGCAGAAGGTTTGTTCCATTTAAAAATGATACTTTTGGGGGCTGGAGAGATGGCTCAGTGGTTAAGAGCACTGACTGCACTTGCAGAGGACTTGGGTTCGAGTCCCAGCACCCACATGGTAGCTACGAACCGTCCATAACTCCAGTTCCAGGGGAATTTGAAGCCCTCTTCTGACCTCTCAGGCATTGCATGACACGGGTACACTCACATACATGCAGGCAATACACTCATACACATAAAATAAAAATAATAAATAAAATATTTTTTAAAATGATACTTTTATTGAGTGCCTAGTGTGTGCAAGATATAGGAGTTAGCATCATGCATTCAAAGATAATAAGAATAATCCCCACTGGAAGTCACTTATATGGTAACACAAGACTTTACTCCCAGCACTCAGGAGGCAGAAGCAGGTAGATCTCGGAGTTTGAGGCCAGCCTGCTCTACATAAAGAGTTCCCGGCCAACCAGGGCTACACAGTGAGCTCTGGCTGAGTGGGTAAAGGTACCTATCCCCAAACCTGATGACCTGAGTTTGATTCAAGGGACTCACATGGTAGAAGGAAAGAGCTGACTCTCACTCCAAGTTGTCTCTGACCTCAACACTCACACTGTGACACATGTATGTGCATGCACACATACATACATGCACAAACAAATAAATAAATGAAGTAAAAAATTAAAAATAAAATAAAGGCTATGAGCCCCCAGACCTCCATACTTCTGAGGATAGTGGGTATTGATGAAATGCAGGGTCATTAAGGAAGAATCTTTGCCATCTCTGGACCTCCCACAGCTTAAACTATTACTCATTTAGAAAGCTGTGTTTGTGATACAGTTTTTCAGCTCTGCCAGTATTTTGAATGGGATAGTTTCTTGTTTGGAATTGTTTCCTTTTCTTTTAATATTTTATTCATTATTTTTATTTTATGCATATGAGTATATAGCCTGCATGTATGTAAGTGTACCCATGTCATACACTGCTAATGAAGGTCAGAAAAGGGCATTGGATCCTCTGGAACTGGAATTATGGATAGTTGTTAGCCACCATGTGGGTGCTGGGAACTGAACCCAGGTCCTCTGCAAGAGCAGCCAGTGCTCTTAACCTCTAGCTATCTCTCCAGCCCTGGAATTGTTTCCTATGTAACATTTCTGCCTCTTGTCTAATAATTGCAGTTGTGACCCCTCCCTATCCTTATAACCAAATCAGCAAAGCAATGCTCTATTCCATCCCCGAGGCATAAGGTTTGCATGCACACATACAGCTAATATCCATCTCAGATCCCTTCTTTTAACATTGTTACATTTTAGCCTATGTTTTACATTTTAGCCTATGTTCAAAGCTAACAAAATTCACACGAATTGCCTGTATCATGATGAAATCATGTAAACAAAAAAGCCATAAAACAAATTAAACTTACTTTAATCAAGAATTTATAGCTAATATTATGGCAAGAAATATCCAAAATTCTTTCTTGCTAGTTTGGTTGCTTTGAAAAGCCCATAAATCAATACATGGAAAAGAAATGCCAGAGATAAGAAAATACATTTGATTTTGTGTATTTTTATGAGAGCAAAATTAGGAATGAAAGTTGCTGAATATTAAACATATGTTTGTATAGTCTCTTGTCCTATAAATACACAGAATCTCATGGACTATGCAGGACTAAGCCTGTTATTAGAGAAAAAACTTCAAGGTTAGTTGCCTATAGATTTTTGTGCTTGTTGTAGTAAAATTAACATATGATTAGTTCATTCATAAAATTCAATTTTTAGAGAGTGGAAAAATCAGGTAAAGTTATATTTATCACCTCATTATTCCTAAAAGGATCTGTTTTCCTAGCTCACGCTCGCCTGATGTTTCGTGATACTGTGACTCTGGAAGATGCTATTACAGTGGTGTCAGTGATGGAATCCTCAATGCAGGTAAGGATGTTTTGTGCCTCATGTTTATCCTAATTATAAGCTCTTTTAAAAAGTCACTTTATTTTTTTAATATTTTTTTTATCTTATGTGTATGAGTGTATTGCCTGCATGTATTGTAAGTGCACCCATGTCGTGCAGTACCTGTGGAGGTCAGAAGAGGGCGTTGAATCCCTGGAACTGTAGTTACAGATGATTGTTAGCTGCCATGTGGGTGGTGGGATTCAAACCCAGGTCTTCTGCAAGATCAACCAAGACTCATAACCACTGAGCCATCTCTCTAGCCCCTTAAAATGTCACTTTATTGGCATACTAAGAGTTGTAAAAATGAAAAATTCTACACCTAACGCTTGGAAAAACATTTTGGAAAAACCTGAAAGTAATCATTTAAAGAAGGGTGTACTGTCCCTGGAGACTTTCCCTCTAGCATTGGCATTACCTTTGCCCGTTGATGGAATGTAGTGGGTTTCAGTCATTTTACTTCCCCAGCAAATCTAGGGATTCTCATGTTTTCACTAGTGGCAGTGTGGCTTCCTCAAGCAGTGATCACCACCACACAGCACTGCTGTAATTTGAAAAGCTTTCCATGTGATTGTGATGCTCGAGGTGAGGGTGTAGAGAGCTGGCCTGTTCCCCAGGATCAATGGTCCCTGGTATGTCTTGGCCCTTGTGCAAACTGATCTGTGACTGACCCTGGTGTTTTCTCTCCCTTCAGGGAGGTGCACTGCTTGGAGGCGTGAATGCTCTCCATACTTCCTTTCCTGAAAACCCTCAGGCACAGTACCAGAGGCAGTGCGAACTGATTCTGGAAAAGCTGGAACTCCAGAGCCTCTTGAGTGAAGAGCTGGAAAGACTTGAAAGGTAAGGAAGGAAAGCCATGAAAGGCATCATGTTGGCCACAGGAACAACTCAGGTGGAACAGCAGTGTTTCCAAGTTAGCTTTCTCAGAACTTGTGAAAATGTAAATAACAGACCAGTAAATGGGAAGAATGTGTTAAGTGAATTAAAATGTGGGCTCTTTACCTAAAGACTTTTGGCCGGAACTTTAAATGTTTCCTAAATGTATGGGTTCTGAAGGGCTAGACTTTGAGTGTTTGCCTCAGAAACAGGAGCGAGAAATGGAAAGACTGCCCATTCAGGCACCTTTGCAGTCGGTCTGAGTGACTTAATAATGGACCTCAGCCTGGTAATCGGTGTTGCTTTCACGCAGAGAATGAATGCCATGTGTGCTGAAGCCGAGCAGCCGCAGGAGGATTGGGTGAACACTTCTTGATTGCTTTAAGTAAAGCCTTGAGAATTTTTTCCCTGACATTTCTCTGCCCCATTTACTTTATGGCTTCTCCCAGCAGCATTCTACTTCTGCTTTATAAAACCTCAGCACATTTCTCCTGGGGAATGGGAGCAGGGCTGGCTTTACTTACTAGTCAAGGTGTCAGGCTGCAGTACACCTGTACTACGTATGAAATCAACCTCCCTTTCTTTTGGCCTCCAAGCTGTTTTGGCCTCAAACTATTTATTGTTTGATGTAGTTGATCCTTTCAAGTGCCTGCTCAGCCTGGCTTTACCTTGCAGGCTGCTCATTTTGACCTGCTCGAACTGACAAATGGTAGATTCAGAAAAGGAGGAATGTGAGGCTCAGAATTAGTCTTCCCAAATTCAAAATGACTCTCCTAGACAGAAAGGGGACAGAGATGCACATGACTATGCAAAAAATGGGATTCTGCCTTAACTAGTTCTTTACTACTGGTATTTCTTTTTTTAAAAAAAAAATTTATTTATTATTTTTATTTTATGTGTATGCGTGTATTGCCTGCATGTAGGTAAGTGCACCCGTGTGATGCAATGCCCACGGAGGTCAGAAGAGGCTGTCGGATCCCCTGGGACTGGAGTTATGGACAGTTGTTAGCTGCTATGTGGGTGCTGGGATTTGAACCCAGGTCTTCTGCAAGAACAGCCAGTGTTCTTAACCCCTGAGCCATCTCTCCAGCCCCAACCACTGGTATTTCTTTGTAATGTAAAAACATGCTCTGATGTTGATCCTGAAAGCAGCAAAACCAAGTGTCATCCTAAGAATGAGTTATCCCCAAGACCCAGTCAAAAGCTAGTCTCATCAAGTCACAAAAACCCACCTAGCCAATGTTCTCTGTTCCGTAAGAGATCTCATAGAAAACCACTCATATTTTTCACACACTTCCTTTCAGAAAATGCTTTGCAAGTAACCACCTCAAATGATGGCTGCTCTGTCTATCTCAGAGGAGAAGGCAGACATATTACTAGCTTTTAGGATGGTGTAGTAAGACTATAGAAACTATGTAGACATTTACTCCTGAGCAAGAATTCGATGAAAATAATAGGCTTAAACCATGAAATTTCTCATCTTCAGACATCCTTACATAGCTTTAAGTATCTTGACTTTTATCTGATGCTAAAAAGTATACTTAGTAGTAATTTTGAAATCTTGTTCTTTTATTTGGTTACAATTCAAATTAGTAACAAGAACCATGAGTTTACTTTGTTGATATTTCCCAATCTGTGAGTGACAGTTTTTAAAATCTACTAGATTATAAAAGTAGTACATATTCCTAGTGTATTTCAAAAACTAGAAATAATGAATCAAAAAGGAAACAAAAATGATTCTCCATAGTTATTTAATAATATATTTAAGTTTATATTTCTTTCTGTTCCTTTTTCTGTGGTTACACATGATTTTTAGAATACTTTTCTCATCTGCTTTTGAGTGTATTTTTTAGATTTAGTACATGGAAACAAGGTCATAGTTTACCTTATGGTGAGCAGGTATTTCTAGGTTAAAAAGGGTTTTCTGAAAGACTGAAGGGTTTTCTGAAACTACAATTCCTTTTAGAAGGTGGTCTGCCTTTCTGGCATGAGTTGAGTTTTTAACGTACCCAGCATTTAGAGCAAGTATCAGAGTAGGTAAGCAGGTCCTAATTCTATATCAGACTGCTGGAGAGTAGCTGCTCAGTCTGTGTGGAAACATGGCCAGGGTTGCAGGAAAGGGTGCACAGCACCTGAAGGTGTCTGCTGTGCATATAAAGATGGCACTGGGAGTAACAGCACAGAGGTGTCACAGAATCTTCACTCTAAGGAAGGCAAATTTCATGTATGCTAAAATTCAGTGCCTCTATCAAGCAGATAAGTGAGATCTTCATCTCCAGGCTTACGTTTTCATTCTGATCTACAAACTAACTACTAAACAACAAGAATAATTACTTACTTGGCCGGCAATATCAGTTGCTGTGCCGTCACAGATATATCTTGTATTTTAACATTTCATGTGAAAGGTAAGACTGAGCATTTTATACTGAATGTGAAGATGTCTTAAGTGAAATTAATCAGCTTTCAGAGAGATCTAAAAGTGTAGACCGACCTGTTTTCATTTTCTTTATTTTACTGTAGGTTAAATTAGAATGCTTATCACAGGACTAAATTCTTCTAATTTTCTTCTGCTCTAGGAGACTATATTTGATATTAACCTGGAATTATGTTATACTTAAACCTTTCAGATAACATCTCAGAGATGGGCACAGGAATATTCCTTTCATACATATTCTCCTATCTGTTTCTGCCCCAGGTTACAAAATGGCAGTGAGCACCAGCCCCAAACACAGGTGATGGAGGAAGAGGCTGCTCCAGGGTCCTCGGGAAATGATCTGAGGAACAAGCCAAGACTCCGGACTTCAGCACACCCGGGACAGAACTGTAAGGAGCACACCTTCTCCGCTGGTGGCAATCCTAAGGAAAGCCCTGATGTAGACTTTCCACCTCACTTTGGGCCTAATGGACCAACAAGTAGGAGCCATTCGACTGAGTTCAAAGGTGGCAGAGATGACAATTTAGACTGGTTTGACTTCCTCGCAATGCCTGAGAGTGAACCAGAGAGTAATGTGTCTCCTGGTTTGAAAATAACTGAGGAAAATGTAGCTTTGAAAATCTCCAACAATAAATCTCAGGGCAAAGAGAAAAGTGGGCCAGGTCAGAAGAACAGCTTAGAAGCTGGGCATCGTCCATCATCAGGAGCAGCAGATGCTCCATCAGGGTCATGCATTGTTGAGGATAAAAAGGCAAGAAAGGCAGCAGTTGTATCTGAAGTAGCAGGATCCACTGATGAACCAGACTCAGAACTAACTCATGTCCCCTGCAGACTCCGTAAGCTGCATAAGCAGGGGGTCCAGGGTTTGTGCAGAAGTAACACCAGGGCATCATCACCACCCACAGTCTCTTCTCCCCTGTCCATTCCTTTACCTGTTTCAGAAAGAACATTGGAAGCACCCAAAAGAAAGAGACAGAAATCTCCTGGTCAAATGAGAGAGCCTGGACTTGAAAGTGTTGAGACTCTAGATACCCCGGTGTTCAAACTCGCCAAGTTTACTTTCAAACAGAAGTCAAAACTGATCCACTCCCTTGAAGATCATAGCCATGTGCCCCCCAGTACTACTAAAATAGCAGTCCACAGTTCTAAAATTCCTGAACAAAAATCAAGAAGAGAATCAGTTGTGCCTGTGGAGGGTCCAGAAAAGTTGACATCTACCTCAGGAAACAGATGCTTCAACCAGGAACAGGGAAAGACAAAGGAGCAGTCTAGGCAGCCACCAGAGAAAAATCAACCAGGAGAGGAGAGGGAACCAGGAGAGGGCCCGGAAAAGAGGGTTATTCAGCCTGAATTGGAGCCTGGGAAGGAGACTGGGCGTTCTCAACTCACTTGTGCGAGAGACAAAAAGGAAGAGGTTTCCTGCAGTCATAAAAGCAGCAGGGTTCATGCTGGCACATTAGCCAGATTGGCAAACTTCTCCTTCACTTCCTCACCAGAATCCAAATCAGAATCCCTTCCTCCTTCTGAAAGGAAGAACAGAGGGGAGAGAAACCCCAGCCCTCCTCCTCCAACCACAGCTCCAGTGCTTGGCAGGGAAAGGAAATCTTTTCAGCTGCAACAGTCTGCTGAGAGAATAGATCCTTCCAAAAATTCTCTCTTCACTTTATCAGAACTAGATGACGAAGCATTAGATTTTGACTGGGATGAAGAGATGAGAAGAAAGCCGTAACTAGGAAGAGCTTTCTGGTCAAAATTTGTCTTCTACAACCCAACCCAGTATCTTTAAAGTATTGTGTAGTATTTATAAATGTATGCATAATCCATATTGAGTGCCATTCTGAAGACCAGCTCCCCCATTGGATTTATAATTTCAGATTTACCTTTGTGATTTGAAAAGTTGCATAATTAATTGCAGTCAGTGTGATGCCAACACTTAAGATGAATGGATTAATGCTTCCCTTTGCAAACAGGACTACAGGTGTTTGTAAGTTTTCAACTATTTTGTGTATTTTTCTTTTTTTTGTGGGGGGGGGTGGATTTTTTTATTTTTGTTTTTTAGGTAACACTTATAAACCCAGCAAGGCAGATGAACTCTTTTCTGATTTTTCCTCTACCCACCCTGGATGTACTCAGTGTGCTGAATATTATCATTTAGATTGGTTTGCCAAAATCATGTTTTTTTCTAATATTACTTTGTGTTTATTCTCATGTTTCAGGTTGCAAGTGAGTAATGTTTTCCCCTCTTTAAGGGGGGGATACACTTGCAGTTCTGTGGTATAGTCAAGGTCTGGCAGCTGGTCACATAGTAGCTCTCTGAACTAGTAACCTTTTAAACTTTTTTTTTTCTTGAGCAAATATTTCCTGCCTTTGATTCTTTTTTCCTCTAGGGAACCTTCAGCACAACTTAATCATGTGGTCAGAAGAGAGAGAAAGAGCCAGAGCTTCAAGCATAGATCATGTTACATCCATACCAGTGGTTAATATGTAAATGTGATTCCTCCTAAACTGATTCATTTGTCTTTAAAACCAAGCAAAGTGGACTTGGGAGTAGGGTGCTTGTCTATCTTGCATGTGACCCCAGGCTAAATCCCTAGCACCAAAAAAAAAGTAAATACATAAAATAAAATAAAACCAAGGAAGTGTCTGTGTTTGGTGAGAATAGATGAGTCAAACTTTGCGTGAATCTCTAAAATGCTTTCTTTCTTTGGAGTCTAGCATGGGTTCTTAGGACTACATCATTATAGACTTTCTCTGAATTGTGCATTTGTAACCTAATAATTGGTTCCTTAATCACCTGAAGAACTTGGAGATATGAAGAGTACTCAGAACTACGTGTGCTTTCTTCAATATTTACTTCATGAAATTCATATAGAGAAAACAAATTTATGAAACCAATTTTTTCCTGAGCATTTAAAAATTAATTCCCAAATTGACAGTCTTTATGAAACATTTTAAACTGTTAGAACAGATTTGGTCTGTGTGGGTCTTTTGAAGTCTTCAAGCACCTTAAATAACTCATAAAACATTTACACAAGCAGTGATTTTTAAAAATGTGTTGTATATTCACTTAAACCTACTCAAAAACATCGACTGTGATTTAAGTAATTTTTAAATTTCTGTAATTATTTAATAACTTTCAAGTACAGTATGATTCTTGATGTATTCCTAATCTTCTAGCATTATTTCTTCCCTGGGTTTTAGTATTTTTCCTAGAACTACAGAGGAAATAAAGGAGGTAGGGGGTTCATGCATATGCATGAGTACGCTCACTCAGGCTTGTGCTTATAAGGCCAGAGTTCAATATCAGGTGTCTTCATCAGTCACTGTCCTTTATTTTTTGAGACATCGTCTCTTACTGAATCTGAAACTGGCCATTTCAGCTAGACCAAAGGGCCAATGAGCCTCCTGGATCCTCTTGTTTCTGCTCCTTAGTGCTAGGGTTGCAGACCTTCACCATTCCTAGCTATCACATGGGTGCTGGGGATCCAAATTCAAGTCCTCATGCTTGCACAGTAAGCACTTTATCCACTGAGCCATCTCCCCCGCTCCGGGAGCTGAGTTTTTGACTAGTGAAGTCTTGTTCTGGACACACTCTGATTATGTAGGAGAGGATCATTTAAACTTGAGCCACATGGTTTAGATATTTTATGGGGTTGCTGAGACAAAAATCTCATTACATAGCTAAGGCTGATTGTGTGTGGTGTGTGTGTGTGTGTTTTGAGATGAGATGGGCAAAGGCTTTATCACAGCTATTCAGGTCTGATTAGTAATGCAGAACTGGAAATATTTTAACAAATATTTGGTGGTCATGTTTGTTTTTTGAGGCAAGTTATCCTTGTGTAGTCCAGGCTGACTAAAGTTCCTGGACCATGTTAGTACTGGCTCCAGTTGGAGCTGTGCTGCTGCTATTCCATCTTACATGTACAGCTATTTGGGGACCCATCACATATCCTCTTCACTCTCTTGTCACTCAGAAAACATAAGCGGTGGTGCTAATTGCCCTGATGATACATGCTTTTTAAAAAAATTTTTTGTGTATGAGTATATTGCCTGCACATATGTAAATGTATCCGTTTTGTGTGATGCCTTCAGAGATCAGAAGAGGGCATCATGTTTCCCTGGAACAGGAGTTCCATACAGTTGTTAGCAGCCATGTGGGTGCTGGGAATCAAACCCAGGTCCTCTGCAAGAGCAGCCAATGATCTTAACTGCTGAGCCATCTCTCCAGCCCCTCATGATGCATTCTTAATTGTCTTATCAGTTCCACAGTAACTACCCTTCCTTAAAGACTCAAAAGTGCATCTGTAAGTATGTATTTGTAGGCCAGGTATAGTGGCACATACCTGAAATCCCAGCACTGGGGAGGCTGAGTCAGAGGGATTGCTGTGAGTCAGGTAAGCATGGGCTACATAGTATGTACAAGATCAGCCAAGGCTACACAGTGAGAAAGACCTTGTCTCCAAAATAACATCTGTGAGTTAGGGAGGTAGTTCAGTTGGTAAAGTGCTTGCCTTGAAAACATGAGGACTTGAGTTCAATTCCCAGAAACCATGTAAAAAAGCCAGGTATGGTGGTATATACTTATAATCTCAGTTGGAGGAGACAGAGACAGATGGGTCCCTGGGGCTCGATGGTCAGCCAGCCTAGCCTACTTGGTCAGCTCCAGACCAGTTAGAGACCCTGTCTCAAAACAATAAGGTAGATAACTCCTGAGGAATGACACCCAAGGCTGCCCTGGCCTCCACATGCATGTGCTACATGTGCATGCACCTATACATACACATGTAGCTGAACACACATAAACAGAAGTAGAGAGTAAATTACCCTATGAATGTAAATTAGTTTTAGGCCGTTCTTTATGATTGACTGGAACCTTAATGCTTTGGCATTTGAACCACCAGAAAGCAAGCATTTATATCAAGTGTGTTGATATGGGGACAGCCTTGGTTTAACAGGATTTTCACACTAAAACCAATGTTTGAATATTGCCTACCATGTAGATATTTCAGTGCCTACTGACAGAAGGAGGCTGGGTATTATAGCTAAATTATGAATTAGGTAAATTGGCTTCTAGAATTGGCCAACAGTGACCTTGCCATCATCAATGATGTCATCAACAAAAGCAATGTGCCAGGCGTATCTGAATGAGGTATCAATGATTTACTAAAAGGAAAGACTTCAGAGCCTAGCTGGGATTACAAGTGTGTGCCACCATACCTGGCCTACAACTGTCACTTTGCTGTAAGAATACAGTAGGGAATCTCATTAAGGAAAGAGAGTCTAAGGAAGCATGGCCCTAGAGCCAACAGGGCCAAACAAGCTCTGTCCTCAGCCTCTCTGGAGTCCTCAGGATCCCTGTCACTACTTCTTTTAAGTATGCCTGTTTCCTGCCCCTGTGGTAGGTTTGATCTCTATGATGAAGGCTGGTCTGCTCCAGGCCACATGTAGCTTTTTATCTGCATTGGGACGTGGTTCCCACTATCCCTTTCTCTGACCTTTCCAGGTGAGCACTTACCTTCATCCCACTGATCCAGGCCTGCTCAGTGCTTTTTATTTCAAATTCTTGGTTCTGCTTGGTTTGAAAAGGAATGAAGGTAAGGGTTCAGATGGCCACCAGAGGGTGGAGGTGTTCTAGAAGACAGTGCCTGGCCGGTCTACCACATCCCTATCTCTAGCTGGTTTGGGGTTACAGGTACTGTAATTCTCTAACTTTATGGATTCTAGTACAGTGACCAGATGGAGACTATAGGTTTCTCAATGCACTTGAATCATGTTTTCTTAAGAGCCGTGCAAACTGCCTGATAGCAGCAAAGCCCTTTCCCACTCACTAGCCATTGCTGACAGTCTTGAACTGTAGATGAGACTGCAGAGCACATAGGGAACTGGTCACTGTGACACTGGATCTCCAGCTTCCATTTGTCCATGGATATGTTGTTTCTCATAACTGCATCATAGCTGTTAGAAATAGTTCAGTGAGAGCCAAATGGGTGGGAGTATGAGGAGGGTATTAAATATATTTTGCCCTTTTCCAGTACAACTACCAAGAAAGTAGGGACTAGATCCACTTTGAGAGGGAAATGTGTGTTATCCCTGCTTTAATCCTTCCTAGAATTATAAGAAATAATAGTTCATAATGTATACAGAAAATACAAAGTTGATCTTTGATGATGTATTTTTCGTTGTTGGGAAATTAAAATATTTTAAAGATGGGGAATCCAGACAGTTGTGGGGATACATGCCTGTAATCTCAGCACTCAGGATGTGGAGGCAGGAGGACTGTGGGTTGGGGTCCATCCTAAGTTATATAGTGAGTTCAAGGCCTACCTGGAGTATAAAGAGAAAATGTCTAAAAAAATTAATTTTTAAAAGTAGAACCTTTAAAACTGTCTAGCATACCTGAGACTTGATTTGCTACCTTAAAAGAAACTCAATGTGCCAGGCATGGTGGCGCATGCCTTTAATCCTAGAATTCAGGAGGCAGAGGCAGCCGGATCTCTGTGAGTTCAAGGCCAGCCTGGTCTACATAGTGAGTTCCAGGACAGCTGGAACTACATGGAGACCCTGTCTCAAAAAAAAGACAGAAAAAAACGCCCAAAAAAAACCCTCAGTGTAAATGAGGGGATGGCATTTGCCTAAGGGACAGCAGTCCCTGTGTGTAGAGCTGGCCCCTCAATAGAAAGCATAGAAATTAAGTACCTGCACCATGTTCATCCCTGAATGTAGTGTCTGTCAGACACTTTACAGCAGTTTCTACATCAGTATCATTATTTCTTTGAGAAAGCTATGAAATTTTCATTTTATTACAATCCGTATGTACAATAGCTTTCTCTCAAAATGATAATACACTGATTTTCCAAACTACTTTGAACCAAAATTAAATTCAAAAATGAAATTTTTCTAGGTTTGTGTTAAATATTAAATTTCCCAAATGAAAATTTGATTACTATCTAAGAGTAATACTGATCATAATGCTAATACTTTAAGTTTTCAAGGCAGATTTAATACTTGACTTCATTTGGTCTCCACAACAATCAGCAATGTTCACACAGATAATACCCTATTTCTCAAGTGAGGAAAATACTCCATTTCAGTGTTTTTTAAAAAATAAACTTCCTTTATTTGAGGATTAAGTTCTGCAGCTTCCACTTCCCTAACCAAGGGGAAGGGAAGTATAGAATGGAAAACAAAAAAGGACTGTTTGCTCCCTCCAGATCACCTGCTGTGGTGGAATTGAGGCTCATACCACATCGGACACAGCAGCTGCCATTGGCACTGAGTTGATGGAGCTTGAGGTGCTCCACTAACTTCTTCCAGGATCTATCCAATTTTTGTAGGACCCATTAAATGGATATTTAAAGGGAACAATCTCTTTGCTTCCTATAGGTATTCAAGTCTAATTTCTGCCATCTACCATGAGATGGTGTAATTGTCTTGCCTGAGTGGTGTGTGAGGGCAGCTTGAGAGTTCTTCCCTACTGTGATACCTTTTGCTGACAGGTGAAAGAAGAAATGTGAATGTGATCATGCAGCTGTTCTACCAACTTCCATGTATTGTCCATTTTAGTTATATATTCAGAGACTGGGCATGATTACTGGGTGGGTCCCTGGAACAACAAGTCCCATTGTGAGGTAGGCCT